ACAGAATCCCAATTCAAACTGACAATTCCATAGGTCAGTGGTTGAGCACCGACCTATGAACTAGGAGGTAAGTTTGATTACCAATCAGGGCACATGCCTGGTTTGGGGGCACGATCCCCAGTAGCAGGCGTGCAGGAGGCACTCAATCAATGATACTGTCATCATTGATGTTTCTATCTCTCCCTTAAAAATATGTATTTTTAAGCCCCAGACAGGTCCTTGCTCTGGCATTGACTAGCCTTGTGACCTTTGGCTAATTCTTAAACTCTAGACTCTTGGTTAAATCATTTGTAAAATAAAAATGCCCTCTTCCTTACAAGGTTGCTGTGAAAAAGAGAGGGAATGTATATAAAATATAGTGGCCGCTTACTAGAGATGTTCAATTATTATTGTAGGTGAGGGACCACTACCTTTGGGCAACCTTAGACTGGAATCATGTCTAATACTCATATTAGATCAAGGGCTGTGAGGATTGAAGAACAAAACATGACTCCTCAGAGGATCTGAATAGACACTTCTCCAAAGAGGACATATAAATGGCCAATAGACATATGAAAAGATGCTCAATGTCACTAATCAGAGAGATGCAAATTAAAGCCAAATGAGATATCACCTCACACCTGTCAGAATGGCTATCATCAATAAATTAACAAACAAGTGTTGGTGAGAATGTGGAAAAAAGAGACCGCTAAAGTGCACTGTTGGTGGGAACACAGATTGGTACAGCCATTATGAAAAATAGTATAGTTTCCTCAAAAAATTAAACATGGAACTGCCTTATGACCCAGTGATGTCACTTCTGGGTATATACATCCAAAGAAACCCCAAAAACACTAATTCAAAAGAATATATACACCTATATGTTCATTGCAGCATTATTTATAATAGCCAAGATATGAAGCAACCCAAGTGTCCATCAATAGACGAGTAGATAACAAGTTGTGGTACATGTATGTAATAGAATATTACTCAGCCATAAAAAAGAACGAAATCTTACCATTTGCAACAGCATGGATGGACCTAGAGGGTACTATGCTAAGTGAAATAAGTCAGAGCAAGACAAGTAACGTATGATTTCACTTAAATGTGGAATCTAAAGAGCAAAACAAATACGCAAAATAGAAACAGGCTCATAGAGAACAGACTGATGGTTGCCAGAAACGGGGGGAGGAGGGGGGGTACGGGGCTGAGTGAAAAAGGTAAAGCAATTAAAAACTACAAATTTGTAGTCACAAAATAGTCCCAGGGATGCAAAGTACAACATGGGAAATATAGTCAATAATATTGTAATAACTATGTATAGTGTAGTTGGGTATTTGAAACATTGGGGGGACCACTTTGTAAAGTATGATTGTCTAACCACAAACTATACTGTACACCTGACACTAACACAAAATGATACTGAATATAAACTGTAACTGAAAAATAAAATTAAAAACAAACGAAAGCATGACCCCTGCCCTCACTGGATTTGTAATTTAGTAAGAGAGAAAATAAGAGAAGGGCTTTAAGAGGTAATGAGAAAGAAGTGATGAGAGCTCAAAGAAAATTTCTGTGTGCCAGGAACTGTGCCTATACCAGCGGTTCTCAACCTGTGGGTCGCGACCCCTTTGGGGGTCAAACGACCCTTTCACAGGGGTTGCCTAAGACCATCAGAAAACACATATATAATTACATATTGTTTTTGTGATTAATCACTATGCTTTAATTATGTTCAATTTGTGACAATGAAATTGGGGGTCACCACAACATGAGGAACTGTATTAAAGGGTCGCAGCATTAGGAAGGTTGAGAACCACTGACCTATACTCTTCAACTAGTGCTGCAACTTAAATGATTTAAGCACCAATTACTGTGGCAGAAAAACAGCTCTAACTGCCCAATTTTTGTAATATATTGAAAGAAGGACATTTATTTAGGCCATCTTGATAAATTATTTTTTTAATATATATATTTTATTGATTTTTTAGAGAGAGGAAGGGAGAGGGATAGAGTTAGAAACATCGGTGAGTGAGAAACATCGATCAGCTGCCTCCTGCACACCCCCAACTGGGGATGTGCCTGCAACCAAGGTACATGCCCTTGACCGGAATTGAACCTGGGACCTTTAAGTCTGCAGGCCAACGCTCTATCCACTGAGCCAAACCGGTTAGGGCCATCTTGATAAATTATATCAGCATGCCTGGCAATCCTATCTTCATCCCTCACAACAACCCTATTTATAGAAATAATAACTCCCAATTGAGGAAATGGACTCAAAGCCACCAAGTGACTTATTCAAGGCTACAGACAGAAATGGCAGACTGGAACCAAGCTCTAATCTCTCCAGTTCTATGCTTGACTTTAGGTCAATTTCTCCTTCTGCACCTCTACAAACCCAACAAGTTGACTGGGACTCTGTTCAATTCTCTAGACTTTTGAAACTACTCAAGTAGTGATTCCCAATGTGGCCCCTGCACCATCAGCATCATCACCTGGGAGCTTGTTAAGAAAGTACATTCATGGCCACACGGGACCTACTCAATGGGGACTCTGGAAATGGACCAGAAATCTGTTTTAACATGTTTGAAACCACAGACCTTCAGCATTCTAAAGGAATGCTCTCATTATACCTTCTCTTTAACAGCCAAGTCTCTCTCAATACATTTCTCCTGAAGCTCTGATGGCCTTAAAGTTGACATTTATACTATGACAGACGAAAATGTCTACTCTTCCTTCCAAATACTTCATTGAACGTTACCCCTTCTCCAAAAGGACTAAGGTTACAGTCCTTGTCAATACCAGTACTGCCCCACCTTTGCCTTTTCCTAAATGCTATTAAGTCAGTAACTCTCTGGCAGGACCTTTCATGCTTTATCCTTCCCTTCCTTCGCTTCTCCTTTAGTCATTCAATAATCTATCCATCTTGTCGGAAACCTATTTCAACAATACCCACTACTCTCTTCACTCCACGTTCCACAAGCATCACTAATTGTCTCTGCTCTGTCTGCAATGTAAAAGGAGTCCATGGCCCCATGGAACCTCACTAACTCCTTTGAATATGGTTAACTATTTCAACAGGGGGATTGAAGGTGACCTTTTATGAACTAGTAGTTTGCTAAAGGAATGGATGTAGAAGTTTGTTCTAACAGAGCTCTCAAGTCTCCTCAAAGTTCTCTGCATCATTACTGCGTCTATATTTGAAGTTAAAGTAAATTTAAAAATCCTCCTCTAGAAACTAGGGAGAATCCAAAGATAGAGTAATTCTCAGTGTATGCTCACGCACATTAGTCTTAGATGGGTGATGAAATATACAGCCCTCCCTCACTACAGTAGACTGAAATAGAAATAGGACAAGTGAAAGATATTGCATGAAGTTTTAAGAACTAAAACTGTATGTAGGTCTAAGTGTTAAGCTCACCACCAAATGTGATAAGTGGGCTACATCAGAATCAGCTTGGGGAATTTTTGAAAATTCCTGGAATACACATTTCCTAATTTTCAATTTCAAAATTGTTCAGATAGAAGCAGTGTTAGTCCCAGGTGTTTCTAGTGCATAACAGATTTAAAACCTACTGGTGCAGAGACAAGCTCCATTTTAACATTAATCAGAAGCACCATAGTACAAGCCAATTTAAAAGTACGCATGAGGATCCAGTTCAGTAGTTTTCACCCTCACTGAAGCTGACAGAAACACTTTACACAGATATGTGCAGGAAAAGTAGGTCCCTCATTATAGCAATTGATGAGTGGTCTATCATCTCATTGCCTTGATCCACCAAGTAGGTTCTAAATTGATGAATTACTGACTTTCCAAATTAAACTCCATGAAGCAATAGTGAGGTTCTGTGCTGCTTCTACTAAATCCACAAGGCCCCACACATTGGTGACAACCATGTATCCGTATATTACTGAATCAGAAGTACCAAGACTTACTTATATCAGATATGCTGATAGTGTGACCTTTCATTTACCAAATTCCCACCATAAATTCTTAATAACTCTCCACAGTATGACCCCAAATGACTTCCATCTCCAAGGCTCTGCATTCTTACTGCAGGCTAGCTTCCACCAAACCTCTTATAAGTCCCACTGCCAAAGAAAGTGACCCATACGCTTCCTCATACAGAATGGAAAAATTCCAAGGCAATCTAGATTATAGATCACCCATTACATATCCAATCAATTGGGTGACAGGATCGATAACACAGGAATGCCTGTCCTAGCCATAGGTAACCAGGAGGAAAAATAGAGGATATATGGTCAAAGGATAGATGTCCACTAAAATTGATAAAACTATTTTTACAGACATTTCTCTTGGCTATAACAATTTAAATTAGGCTGTTCATAAGTAAGAATAATAATGAGCAGCATTATTAAACAATTTAATTCCCCAATTTAGTGATTTTAGCTAAATACGTGAACCTTCTAAGGCTACTAATAAAAACTTTATTTGCAAATGTTGACATAGTGTTTAAGTCAGAATTGAAAGCAACGATAAGCAACTCCTTCGCATAGTTACTACCTCTGACCAACGCATAATAAGAATTCACTTGGACAAATATCTTCCATAACCTACCTAAAAACAGGATAGTTCATAAATTCTCTAAATTGTTCTTTTCTACTGTGGTCAGTCCTTGATCTTTAGCTGTAAAACTTAGTAAACTTTGGCATACTCTAATGCTAGTATTTTAAGTTACCGAAAACCTCTATAAATTTAGCATTATTCCTCAAATCTGGGCAGTTTTCTCATTCTGAATGCTGAAATGTTTAGATCACAAATTGAAATACCAGTAGAAAAACATTCATCTTTAGGCAGGTTGTACAGTTAACACATGGCAAGAAACTAAAAAGAAAATTTAAACATCTAGAACATACAAATACTTGAAAGCATTAGGAAGTCTGAACTTAATTGGTACACTTTGCTAAATTGTAGCAGTTCCAATTACAGGAAAACCGAACTGATATAAGGTTTAATGATTTAAGCTATCTCAAATTTTTCCCAATTCCTGACACCAATATTAGATTTATACAGAAGTTTTATTATAGTAAGAAATAGCTGTTACAGTGAGATCTGCAAACATATACAGAATTATATTTAAATTCATATAGAATAATATTTACATTTTTAAGTTACAACTTTGAAGTTAGAAGATGAAGTATAGCTTAAGTTTTACAACAAAGAAGACAAAAATACACAAGACAAAAATAGAGTTGACAGTAAAAATATAACTATCTGTTCTTGATACAACATGTGGAAACTCTTGTCAGAAAGCTACATCTTCTTAATCTGATTGTCCAAATCACTAAAATATGGATGAATCAGTGCCATTTTGCCAGAAATTCGTTTGGCAGGATCATATACTAACATTTTCTGGAGGGGAAAGATAAAAAGGAAAAAGGTTTTTATTTAAAAAATGAACCATTAAAAAAAAAAGAAAAAACCTCCATAAAACCTAAACTCTCTAATAAGCCAATAAGCCATAAACTAATTTTAATGAAAATCTATAGATGAACATTTCCATTAGTTTAATACTAAATTACATAAGTATCTCATCCACTGTACTTTACCCTCTAGCTCTAGAATAACATATTTCTTAAATTATAGGTATTTTGATAACCTCTTTTTGCTATAAATTATAGTTTAAGACACTAGCATTCAGAAATAGCTTTAAAACCAAAACATACATTTAACAAAGATATCTAGTTAATTATATTTACTTTGAGAAATAGCCGTCTGAGTTATTTACAACTTTCCTGAAATGGTGGCAACTATAGTGGTTTCTAATGTAGCTTCCAACAAGTTCCAAGTAAAAACAAAACCCAATTCAATATGTTACAAATATAGTTAAAATGAGTCTTTAAATGAATCAGTCAATCTCATATTAATTTATACATCACCAGAAAAAGAGGAATAAAGTTAAATATTGACCTTAAATTTTATCTTCTTATTTTTGACTTAGAGCAATGGTTCTCAACTGGGTGAGACTGCCCTTCAGGGGAGACTTGGCAATGTCTGGAGGCATTTTGGATTGTAGCCACTGGGTGGAAATTATGTCCATGCACACAGGACAGCCTCCAGCAACAAAGGACCAGTGGCTAGACTAAGGCCCTCTGACTTACAGTATTTAATTTTTGTTTTCTTCATTGAAGTGAAATTCTTTGTATTAAAAAATTACAGAAGTTAAAAAGGTAGACTGGGCCCAGAATATGGGAAGCCTTTTACCTCAAATCAGCACTATTATACACAACATGTTGAATAGCATGTAAAAGTCTTTGGACTTCACTGCAAACAATTGGGAAATCGAAGCTGAATTTGGTGGAATAATGATTTACAAAGTGTGAAAGGTGCCCAGAAACGAACTAGAAGATATATATGATGACATAGCAATAGATTACTTTGCTTAGTAAACTGCCAAAGCATTATTTTTTTCTAGAATCAAGTTAGCAGAGATTTATTATTACTTCCTCCTGAAAGCTCAATATTTAAATACTGTTCTAAAACAAACTTCCTGAAAGAGGCCTAGGACATTTTATTTTTTTGTCCTAATACTGTTTTTGTTTTGTTTTTCTTAAGAAAACAACTATTAGTTAGGAATGGCAATGTAACAGAAGGGAAACATTTTCAAGAACTACTTCAGTCCTTCTCCTAATGTTTCTGATGTGGAAATAAGGCACAAAGTAAGAAATGGGAGTTCATGCAGTAGAAGGTTTTACTAACTAAAAAATGAAGCAACAAAGGAAACACCTTTGACTTGGATAAACTAAAAAGTAGTATATAATGAGACAAAAAGCTGGAAAGGAATGCTACTACAAATCAGCAACTTAAATAAGAATAAAGGTGTTATTAACCCTGACCTTCCCTTCCCTTGATCTGAAGCTATTAGATCAAGAAAAACAAAACGAAAAATAATGAAAACAACTAATTCATTTAATTCTCGAAGAAAATATCATACTAATTCTCCTCTCAAAATTACTAGGATTTCTTGGTATCTGAAATGGAGCTAGTAATACAATAAACATAACAGACATAATAGCTATTTGCCTAAGAATCATCAATGACAGTATAAAGGGCAGTCCTTACCGAGAGAAGATCCAAGCCATCGTCATCCAAGTTTTTGACATGGGATGATAGGCTTCCTGGTTTCCACTTGGGGAATGTATTCTTATAGTCCTGTAAAGACTCCACGTCTGGCCACACATCATTGTTGGGAGTACCCAAAGCTCTAAAAGCCATAGTAAAACAAAAAGTTATTAAAGTATAACTATGATCTTATTTATATTATGTTGCCTTTACAGTTCCTAACAGCTTAAATTAAAAAAAAAAAAAAAAATACCTGAAAATTCTGAAGAGTTGATCAATTTCCGAATCCCCATGGAAGAGTGGTTTCTTAGTTGCTAATTCTGCAAATATGGTGCCTATACTCCAAATGTCAACTGGAGTCGAATAGCGAGCTGACCCCAACAACACTTCTGGAGATCTATACCAAAGTGTGACCACCTATTACAAAGCAAATTTTCACAATGAGTAAATGTGGTGCATTAAATTACCTAAATGTATACATTTACATTTCATTACAACTGTCCTTTAGAAGCCTGTATGATTGCCTGATTATATTGTTTGCATGTACTGCTTACATGCTAAAAACATGAAAAAGTCACATAATAGTTTATTAGTGGTCTAGAGCAGATTATTTTAGTATATATAATTTACCCAATGGTAACAATATCACCTTTAACTTAAAAGTCAGTGAGGTCAATGGCATTAGCCATGGGAAAATGATATAATAGGATAAAAATGAGCCAAGACATCCAACAAGATGAGCACTGCTTTAAGTTTTCATGTGGGGACAGTCTTTGGGCTGAAGGGTAGGCAACTCCACAGAAGACACTCTTTGCCAATACAGACATGTGACACATAAAAACGTTTCAGTCAAGGACAGGTGGTATATACAACGGTGGTCCCATAAGATTGTAATGAAGCTAAAAAACTCCTAGAAGTCATAGCTATCCCAATGTCAAAGTCCGACACTATGCTTAAATAAAATCATCTAGTGTAGTCTACTAAGTGCATAGTGTTTCCCAAGTCTACAGTAGTGTACAGTAACATCCAAGGCCTTCACATTTCACTCGCTGCCGGGAGCCGGTCCATCCTTGCTGTTTCAAGGGACCTGGCATATATGGCATATTGTTCTTAATATGTTTGCTCACCTTCTTGGCACTATGTGTTTTAACCAAGGTCTCCTCTCTGAGAAAGGTTGTTTCCCCAGGTAGGGATTTTCCCCTGAAGTTAGGGAGGGAATAAAACCTCTTAACTAAGTGCCAGGCGGGTAATTAATCACTTTAACTATGAACAATCGTGCTTAAGCTACATAATCTTTACTCCCTGGAATGAAGATAAGAAACGCCCTAACCTTTGTAATAGAGATTGATAGGATTGAATCAACTGGTATAAATACAGATGCAACAAGACAGCAAGTCAGAACTTAGAACACAGAACTAAGAGAGACAGAACCTAGGCACAGAACCTACACAGAACGTTCTCTAGAGACAGAAGAACTTCGCTGGAGAGAACATGGCAAAAGATCCTGGACAGAAACTGACCTCAGAACTTAGAGACAGAACCTAGCGAGAGAACATGGCAAAAGACCCTGGACTGAACCTGACTACAGAAATTGGCAAGAGAACCTGACTAGAACCTGGTGACTGAACCTGGCTGGAGAACCTGGACAGAACCTGGCTGGAGAACCTAGCGAGGGAACTTGGCTACAGAACCTGGCTGGAGAACCTGGAGAACCTGGCTGGAGAACCTAGCAAGACAACATGGACACAGAACCTGGCTGGAGATCCTAACCAGAACCTCTCTGGAGATCCAGACCAGAACTTGGCTGGAGATCCTGGCTGGAGATCCTGGCTAGGCTGCTGATCAACTGAACACTGTCTCCGTGTCCTTCCTTCTTCGCCGACTCCGTCCACACCTTTGGGGACCCCTGGACCCGCTGGGGTTGGACCCCGGCAACTCGCCACTCACTGCCTCACCCAGAACAACTTTCAAACCTGCTAGCTTCCTAAGTGCCTTATACAGGTGAACCATTTTAAAAAATTTTATAGTGTATGTTGCTGTAGCTTCTATGTTTAGACACATATCATTGTGTTACAACTGACTACAATATTCAGTATAGTAACATACTGTACAGATTTGTAGTCTAGCAGCAATAGGTTATACATATAGCCTAAATATATAGTAGATTATACAATCTAGGTTTGTGTAAGTGCACTGTATGTTTTGCAGTGATAAAATGGCTTGCAGATATATTTCTCAGAACACATCCCAGACATTAAGCAACACATGACTATAATCCTATACTACACAATTCAACATTCCCTTCCCCTTCAGAAATAACAAATGAAATGCCAAGTCGTCAATATAACACTGATGAAACATGATTATATTTATACTCCAAAATGTATCTGAAACAGTACCCCTTAAGCAACAAAACCTATCTTTTAACCAATTTGGTTGTGTATCAGAGAGAAGCCAATCAGGAGACAGAAAGAAACCACTTGGTGATTGAATGGGGAAAATCAATATAAAGGATTATTAACTGTAATGGGATTGGAATAATTCAAGACTGACTAGTAAGAAATAATGAAAACCCGTTCCTCCTGCAATGCTTTTCCAGCACCCCCTACTGACAAAGCATAACATCTCACCAGCTAGCAAAGGAAAAATATTCAGCGGTTCCAGTTCCATTTTTACATAGCATGCAATGAATGGTGAGTGCAGAGCTGCGGCAATAAACTAAAATGGCCGAGTGGAAATCTTTTTGAGCACTTCTTTCTTGACTTAAAGAACAAATATAGAAGACAATCCAGCAATCACATATTCAAAAGCACCAAAAACACATGATTCTCCATACCTCATGTGTATATACTCTAATAGGTATTCCAAAAGCTCTGGCAAGGCCAAAATCAGCCAGTTTAATTGTTCCTTTGTCATCAATCAATAGATTTTGAGGTTTTAAATCTCTGTGTAGAACTCTTCTAGAGTGACAAAACACAATCCCTTGTAGGATTTGGTACAAATAACTCTGGAAGAAGAAAATATGTTAGAAGCTTAACTGCATAGCACGTAATGATTTTCTAAATAACCTTGGTGAGTTTGTTTCAAAGAAAGAATAAGTTATAATACAGGGAAATAATTTAACTACCAAAAAGCTTTTAGGGCTTCTGAGATGAACAAGAAGCATTTATATACAATATATCATGCTTGTACACTAAGACAAAGATATTCACCTTATGCGCACACATCTATATCCTATGAATTCATTTTGTCTTCTTTTACTTATTTTTTGGTCCCTCATTAAGTCATTAAGTCATAAGTTAGTTTTCTGTAGAGAAAGTTTCTTAAACTTTTGCTCTATACACTGATAACAATTCTATTTCTATCTTGAATAAATCTGGTCTTTTTCACTTCTATCTTTTATCTTTACATACTTATTTCCTCTTTGGAGACATTGGTCAGATTCCAAAAGAAATGACAAGAATATTATAATTATGTTTAAATAGAAACAATGATCAGAAAAAACTGTTTAGTAGTTCAGAGTTGTTTTATAAGACAACTGGAAGAATGCTTTGCTCAAGCTGGTGTAAGGATAAAACACTTTCACTTTATACACTTTATCACTTTTAAACAATTGTGTATACATTTATAGTTTAACAGTATGTAATGTCTACAATAGTTAATCAAAACATATTCAAAATTAGAAAAAAATAAAACCACCTGCCAACACCACTTGCCCCAGGTGTTTGTTACTTTGTTTTACACGTTTACCAGAATACACTAGGGCAGTGGTTCTCAACCTTCCTAATACCGCGACCCTTTAATACAGTTTCTCATGTTGTGGTGACCCCCAACCATAAAATTGTTTTCATTGCTACTTCATAACTGTAATTTTGCTACTGTAAACAATATGTAATTATATATGTGTTTTCCGATGGTCTTAGGCAACCCCTGTGAAAGAGGTCGCGACCCACAGGTTGAGAACCACTGCATTAGGGCAACCAGTTCAGGTCCCCTCCTTGCAGCAGGGAGCTTTTCGACAACAAAAAATTGGCTTTCCAAGACCAGAATATCCTAGTTTTCAACAATACATGGTTATTAGTTTTATGTTCTCTCAGACACAACTTTTCATTTTATATTAGAAGAATCATCTAGTAAAAATGATTCCTATTAACAATCTAATCTCTGGACTGTGGAAAGAAAATGAAATACTCTTTTTCTTCCTCAATCTGCTTTCTAACACTTTTCCCAAGCTACTCCCACACAACACAGGCGAAATACAGAGCAGACCCTTTACATTCACAGTGAATGAAGAGTAATAAAATTAGGCAAGCGTCTTACCTTAACAAGTGCAGAATCCATGAACTGACCAGGAGGGATAGAATCCAAGTATTTCTTTAGATCCATGGAAAGATATTCAAAGATGAGATATAATCTGGAATCTTGCATGAGCACATCTTGAAGACTAAAAAATAAAACAATTATATGAAAAAATTGATAAACATTTTTGACCATTCCAAAATGACACTTTGACCATTCCAAAATGACATTTCTAAGCTGACTGCTTGTTCAGAGCTTGTTTTTCCATTAAGGTAAAGTATGGAAATAAATTTAAAGTAGTATCTGACCTTCATTGTTGCTCACTATATCCAGTCCCCCCACATTCAGCTAAATACTAACTTGGACCTTTTGAGAGACAACCCACTCTAAAACACCAGCCCACATATTTAAAAAAGGAAGAAAGAAACTTTTCTTTTTCATCGAACCTAGCTGCCTGTCTTAGGACTCCGATTAAGGGATCTTTAAGGACCAGAGCTCTGAGTGAGAGTTGACAAAGCTCAGTGAAAAGGTCTTCCTGTTCTCCCACAGCCAGTTTACCTTGATCTTTCAGCCCCAAATACTAATCTCTATGACCCAGCTCCTCTAACTCTGTGCCTGCTTTAACAGCCTGTTTTTCCTACCTCCAGCATTCTCAATGAACAAAAATAGTAGGGTTCTGTTCCACTCAGCAAGGTTACACAAAAATTAAGCAAATGTAAGTATTTCCACATTGAAATGCACATTTTAAATACTATGCGGAAAATGGTTTAAGTCCAGATATACCATACCTGACTATATTTGGATGACGAAGTTCTTTTAATAGAGAAATTTCCCGAATTGCCGTACTAGGAACCCCTTCCTCTTCACTTTCTAGTCTGATTTTCTTCATGGCTACTATTTGACCTGTAGTTTTGTGTCTACCCTTATACACAACTCCATAGGTACCTGAAATAGACAAAATAAATGTCTGCTATGAGATACCCCTCCGTGAAATAAGCAAGATTTTGAAAATGATTGAGTCCCATAAGGTGTCACATGATAGAAATGGCTGCTGTGTCCAGATAGGAAGTATCTTACTCATAATTATACCCTTATCACTTACAAAAAGAAATTGAGACCAAAACTGGTTTGGCTCAGTGGATAGAGCGTCGGCCTGCGGACTGAAAGGTCTCAGGTTCGATTCCGGTCAAGGGCATGTACCTGGGTTGCGGGCATATCCCCAGTGGGGGATGTGCAGGAGGCAGCTGATCGATGTTTCTCTCTCATCAATGTTTCTAACTATCTCTCTCCCTTCCTCTCTGTAAAAAATCAATAAAATATATTTAAAAAAAAAAAAAGAAATTGAGGATAGCTGCAACCTACTGCATCTACAATTGAAAAATAGAATTCATGTAGTCATCACAAGTTTTCCATACATTTAAATTACCAGTAGTTTTCCAGCACATGTTAGAGCAGAAAATGTATACTTTGCAAACTGAAATTTATCTCTTGTCTTATATCCTACCCCCAATAACATAGGCATAAAAAACAATGTAAAGATTTGGGCTCAGGAAATATTACTAACAGGAGTCATTGTGACACTTTCAGAAAACTCTGTAAAAGGTTCTCTATGAATTTCAAATAGTCAATAACCCTCATCCAGAAAAGAATGTTCTTCAAAGAGAACCCACATAAATTGGATTCTAATAGCAAATTATTTTGTATAAGCTATATCATTTGTCCTTGAAGAGTTTAGAATGTCATACCAACACTCATATATGAAACTTAAGATATTCGGGTGGCTCAAGTGGTTAGCGCATGGGCACTCCGACAGAAGGGTTGAGGGCTCATTTACTGGTCAAGAGCAAGTGCCTGGGTTGCAGGTTTGATTCCTGGCATCTAGGTGCACACAGGAGGCAACCAGGCAATGTCACATTGATGTCTCGATGTCTCTACTCTCCCTCCCTTCCACTCTCTAAAAAAGAGCAATGGAAAAATATCCTCGGGCCCAGCCAGTGTGGCTCAGAAGTTAAGAGTTGACCTATGAACCAGGAGGTGTCAGTTCAATCCCCAGTCAGGGCACATAGCCAGGGTTTCAGGCTCAATCCCCAGTAGAGGGCATGCAGGAAGCAGCTGATCAATGATTCTCACCATTGATGTTTCTCTCTCTCCCTCTCCCTTCCTCTCTGAAATCAATAAAAATGTATTTTAAAAAATATCCTTGGGTGAGGATTAACAAAAACAAAATAAAACATAAATAAAACAAACCAACCTTAAGATATTCTTTTGGGGGAGAGAGGAAGAGCCAAAGGGGCATTTTTATCCCCCCGTTATACCATATAGATCAGTGGTTCTCAACCTTCTGGCCCTTTAAATACAGTTCCTCATGTTGTGACCCAACCATAAAATTATTTTCGTTGCTACTTCATAACTGTAATGTTGCTACTGTTATAAATCGTAATGTAAATATCTGATATGCAGGACGGTCTTAGGCGACCCTTGTGAAAGGGTCGTTCAGCCGCCAATGGGGTCGCGACCCACAGATTAAGAACTTCTGATATAAACATTCTTTAAAAACCTCTAATGAAATTACTATAGATAGTGAATGATATATATTACTGGTTTTAAAGCAGCTTAAATATGTACACATGACAGATCATTTCAACCTAGGGTAACTAAATAAAAAGTTTCTTTAAATTAGTTTAATAGTGAATTATCTAAACCAGTTCAGACAATTTAGGTAAACGTATTTATCGTCTTAAAAATAATTTTAGGTGACTAAAAGTATATTATGTAACTTAACATAATTCTACTGACCTAACTTCTCCCAACATATATATAAGAAGTCAATAATCAATACTTATCAAAATATTGTTTTAATTAGAATATTGTTTAGTAGTAGAATATAAGATTATTAGGCAGGGAGGTTGTCAGGGAACCATCAGAATAATTTCAATTCTCTTGAAATGTGAACATTTGTGTTTAAGTTATTATATAAAGAACGTATCTATGCCCTAACCCAGTGATGGCGAACCTATGACACGCGAACTTATTTTTTTGGTTGATTTTTCTTTGTTAAATGGCATAAGTCTTTGTTTTACTATGGTTGCAAATATCAAAAAATTTCTATATGTGACACGGCACCAGAGTTAAGTTAGGGTTTTTCAAAATGCTGACACGCCGAGCTCAAAAGCTTCACCATCACTGCCCTAACCGGTTTGTCTCAGTGGATAGAGCGTCAGCCTGTGGACTCAAGGGTCCCAGGTTCAATTCCGGTCAAGGGCATGTACCTTGGTTGCGGGTACATCCCCAGTAGGAGGTGTGCAGGAGGCAGCTGATTGATGTTTCTAACTCTCTATCCCTCTCCCTTCCTCTCTGTAACAAATCAATAAAATATATATATATATATAAGAACATATCTATAATAATAAAAGTATAATATGCTAATTAGACTGGACAGCTGAACCCCCTTCCAGATATCCTTCTGGACGAAGCGGGGGCTGCGAGGGCCGAGCCCCTTGCACAAATTTCGTGCATTGGCATAAGTATATATGTCTTAATGCACATTAGTACAGGCAGTCCTCGGGTTACATCAGACTCAATATACGTCAGTTCGTGGTTACCATGGTTACGTTGCCATCTCCCAATTATTTATAAAAAAAAAAGTTCCATCATTTTGACATATGTGCTTTATGGTTTTTATTATTTATTTACCACAAGTAAAGGTCAGGCATTGTTATCTTTCTTTAAAATCTTTTTTTTTTTACTGTTTCACTTCATTACTGCTGTGTATGTGCTCCATGTAGGTGATGTAGGTGCATATGTAGGCGGGTTCCTTACGGCGAAAATCGATTTAAGTTGCGCCATAGGAAAGGATCTCCAACATAACCCGAGGACCTACTGTAGTGAAAAATACTTTAAAGGTTGGATTTTAATAAATATTTACACGTCTTTATGTCACAGAAGTTATAGCATCAAGTCATTTAAAACTTTTACGTGAAAAAGCACTCACCTTCTCCAATTTTCTCTATTTTGGTATAGTCATCCATAGTCAATTAATAGTTATGGCAGATGCTAAAATGAGAGGAAAAAAATCATTTGATTATATGCCACTAGTTCAAATGGTGGTTTTAAGTTATTAATGAGATACTATATTAAAGCATTTTCCACAGTGCCTGATGCAATATTAATTTTCCACAAATATTCGTTATTGTATTAAAGCAATATTTGTAAGGGAAACAACTCCTGCAATAAAACATTCCCACAATTTCTTAGCTCCTTCAATGCTGGAAATATTTGTATATCTTATACCAGTGATTTAGCTTCTTCTAATCAAATAAAACTTCAAATTCACACATCAATTTATCTCTCCTTCCCAAACAGAAACCAGAAGTATGTTTTCTTATGGAACACTTCTAAGGAGCACCATTGTGAGCCATTATACTCAGGTATTTCAACAAATAATGTTATTTGACTGAATTTTTTACTGCTTTGTGGTTTTATGGAGATAATTTTAAGACATGAGTAGGGACCTAAAATGTGCTCACACTGCTCATTCATTGGAAAAATTGTTAAAAGCTTAAGTGTTTAAATTGCTCAAGTGAGCTTTCATCTTTCTCCTGTTTTCAGCAGTCACATACAGGAACATGATTAAGACACTTTCAAGGCAATTTTGAAAGAAGGAACTATCACTTAGCACCCTAAAGGAAAAGGTGCAATTCCACAGGTAATTATACTGTATAGAATCTTCTTAAGAACAAAGTAAAAAAAACAAACCTATACTTGAATCACAAAGAATGGTTTAAAAAAAAGAAGAAAAAGAAGAAGCTGAAATGCTACTGACAACCACTCAAGGCTGCCTCAGCAACTTTGCCAATGAAACTTTAGAAAATTAAGGTAATTAATGCTTTGGGCTTCTAACACACCCACCACTGATAAGATTACATGTAAGTCACCGAGTAATTGCCCCTTACGTCCTATTTCTCACATTCATCTTCAACATCATTCCGGAAATAAGTAGAGAGAAGTCATCTTTTTAAGTCAGTTTTTTAAAATCAGCAAAACTGGACGACACTGGGCCAATCTTAAAAACGTTTAATTTTACGAAATGGGCGACTAAGATAGTCGGCCTTTCTTCAATATCCAGATGCAATGTCTAATGCACATTTGCTGAGCTCGCTTCGAACACCCTGCTTAAAAACGAACTCAGTTTCAAAGCTGCACGCCGTTCCTCCGCTTTCCGGTTGTAACATTTCAAAAATAAAGGATGAGCAAGCTCAGGCCCTTTGAGTGCCTCCTAGGGCTCCGCGCTCGTAGCTGCAGCGCGTGCGCCACCCATGGCGTCCCCACCCCCCCAGACTCCCAAGTCTTTAAAAGAATGTCGTGCAACATTAGTATTAAATAAAGAATGAGTATGAAATAAAGGATATTAAAAACCCACATAGGCACCTATCTGTCGGCATTTCTTAGCGTATCACTTCTTGCTAATCCCAGAGTTTATAACATCACCACCATGCACCCAATAAAAACGAAGAAACAAGTTCCCCTGGCTGTGTGCCTTGGCTAAACGTTGTTCAAAGCTGTAGGTGGGCAAGGCCATACGGGCACAGGGGCAAGTCAGAGAAGGCCGGGTTAGTTCACCGGGGCGGCTTCCCGGGAGGCCTGGGTGCGAGGCCTGGCGCGGGTGCTGGCCCAGGTGGGTCTTGCTTTCATCCCCCCGGAGCAGAGCGCCAGGCCCCAGGGCCGACCTGGCACTGCACCGGGCAAACCCTCCGCGCGGTCGAGACAAACAAAGCACGGGCTCCGCATCCAACCGTGACCCGAAAGCCTCCGTAACCAGGTGAGCGGCCTCCTCCTGGCAACAGCCGCCCGCGACGCGAGAGGGCGGCCGCTCGGGTGCCAGGGGCAGCGCCTGCCCTCCCCGGGGTAGCCCGCCCGCGCAGAGCTCCCCCAGGCGCCCCAGATGTAGGCCACCGCCCAGCCTCCCCGCCGGGCCCCTCGCAAACCCCAGCTGCCCGGCCAGCCTCCGGACGACCACCCGATTCCTCCAAGCTCCCCCTCTGAGTACCCCGAGTCGACTCCTGTGAGCCTCACAGGCATGACCCTGACCCCGGCCACTCTACCCGGCAAGCGACCCCGCAGCGAAAGCGGCGGCGGCTACCACGGCGGCGTCACTTTGTCCTTAACTTCCCAGGTCCAGCTCTGAAGCTAAGTGCGAGCAGTTTCAAACTCACCGCGCTAAAGGGTCCCGCATCCACCAATCAGGTGACCCGGAGACTTTCAAAGCAGCCAATCAGAGCCCAGTCACGCTAGGGCTGGGCTTCCCCGGTGGCTAGAGCGCGAAAGGAAAGGAAAACGGCGGCTGCAGAAAAAACAGCAGGGCGGGCGCCAAGTGAGTCTGCGCGCAAGCTCTGTCTTTCTTCCCGTGGGAGCATCGTCCCCCTGTTTCTAGGCACCAGAAACTGTTCTTTCTGTTTGTTGGTTTTTTCACCTGCCAATATTAGCACAATTAAAACTTAGTATACACAAATAGCTCATCGCAAAAGTGATACTGCACTTGCATCCAGATTCCATTCCTTTCACTTTTAATCCTTAAAGCCTCCTGTATATTGATGTTTTTCTAAATAGATGACTTTCAGGCTGGGCCAAAGGAAGATAATGGAATTTAAAAAAACCCCTATATACATAATACATAGACACAAACGACAGTGTGATGATAGCCAGGGGGGAAGGAGGGGAGAGGTTAGGTGGAGGTGGGCAAAGGCCAGGGAAATGAGGATGGAAAGAGACTCTCCCTCTCCCTCTCCCTTCCTCTCTGAAATCAATACAAATATATTTTTAAAAATATCCTTGGGTGAGGATTAACAAAAACAGAACAAACCAACCTTAAGATATTCTGTTGGGGGAGAGGGGAAGAGCCAAAGAGATATTTTACCCCCATTTATACCATATAGATAATAACATTCTCTAAAAACCTCTAATGAAATTACTACAGATAGGGAATGAATGATTATATGTTATTGGTTTTAAAGCAGCTTAAATATGTACAAATGACAGATCATTTTAACCTAGGGTAACTAGATAAAAAGTTTCTTTAAATTAGTTTAATAGTGAATTATCTAAACCAGTTCAGACAATTTAGGTAAACATATTTATCATATTAAAAATAATTTTAGGCGACTAAAAGTATATTATGAAATTTAACATAATTCTACTGACCTAACTTCTCCCCCCCCCCCAACACATATATAAGATGTCAATAACCAATACTTATCAAAATAGAAATTTTTGTTTTAATTAGAATATTGCTTGTGGCTATGGGCACACACTATGCAGTGTACAGATAATGTTTATTGAGTTGTGCATTTGAAACCTATATGGTTTTGTGAACTAATATCACCCCGATAAATTCAATAAAAAAATACATAAGGTAATGGAAAACTCAAAGACAATGTAAAGAATATATATGTTATATATAACCATGCTTTGTTTTTACCTCACTTTTTATTATATTTTTTATTTATTTAAAAATTTTACTTATTTAAAAATTAGGAGCAACATTTTATGTTTTTTACATTTTAAAATATTTGCACATCAGTATTTTAAATGTCGTTTAAAAGAAAAATAAATCACAATTCTATAAGGGAAGACAAAAGAGATCTAAATTATACTTTATATAACCCGGTATCAAAAACTCTTTCTTTCATGGCACTCTTCCATATCTTTAAGAGAGATTTCTTCACTTGGACACCATTCTTAAATTCTGAAGAAAATAAAACAGTAAAATAGAACTGCAGATAATAAGAGTCCCCTAGTAAGGATTTCTCTTTGCAGAACAAAGACTGATTAGCATGACCTCTTACTAATATGTATTAAATGACCCAGATTAGGATAAGGAATAAAACTAGTATATCACATGCATTTTAGTGTTTAATGCATTTTCACACAATGAGTAGCATCTGTCATCTGACCCCCATATGTGGCACAAATTTTATGTTCAGAGGTGACAGAGGTAGAGTACTCATAGTGGAGGAAGGAGTTTGGAAAATCTGTCTGAAACTAATAACTTTTAAAACTTACTTTTAAAATCCCAAATTCGCATTTTAAATAAAACCCCACTACCCCAGAGAAATGCTCTAGGAAAGAAGTCTGTTCCCTGCTAGGTTAAGGTACTAACTTTATATATCTTTCTCTCTGGGAGGCCTAAGCCACAAATTTAATTTCTATCATCTAAAAGCAGGCAGTAATTCATTATATCCGCTTTACATTCAACATAAAGAAGACACAAGCTTCCACAGCTGTGATGCTAGATTTTTAAATTTAACTCAGTTATCTTTGTTTTTGAAGTTTCGGGGTTTATTGTACATTCATGCTATTGTAAATTCATGCTACCGTTTCTTACACTTTGGGCCCTTGAATTCAGTGTCTCTAAAGTGCAATGCTGTTTTTTATAGACAGGAAAATGAATCAGTTACAATTCCTGTTATAGGCGTGGGGTGGGAAAACACAGTGGTTACTTAGAATTCTCTTCTGCACTTATGTCGTAAAATGCTATAAGGTGATATGAGAACATAGAGGAGGAGATTACTAACTAATTCAAACAGAGGGAGTGACATTTGAACAAACAATGGAGGAAAATTTTCACATTTATATTTCGGTAAACTCCATTTAGAAGGGAAAGGACAGATCAGTTGGGACTGAACACAAAGTTTTTGTTTTGTTTTTAGACATAAGTATTGCTGTGGACTGAATTATATTCCCCCTTCCCCCAAGAAATTAATACATCGAAGCTCCAAATCCTAATGTGATGCTATTTAGAGGTAGAGGTCTTGGGGAGATGATTAGGATGAAATAAGACCATGAAGTTGAAGTCCTTATTATGGAATTAGTCCTTTTATACGAAAAGACATCAGAGAGCTCAATTATGTGAAGACACAGCAAGAGGGCTCCATCTGTAAGCCAGGAAGAGAGCTCTCATCAGACTCAACCATACTGGCACTTCTAGCCTCCAGGACTGGGAGGAAATGAATTTCTGTTGTTTAAGCCACCCAGTCTGTGCTATTTTGCTATGGCAGCCCAATGGACTAATGCAACTATTTTTTTCAGATACAAATGTCTGAGAAACAGTTGCTTGTAACCATAGTGGTCCCCTCCTTATTAGTCATTTTGCTTCCCATGGTTTCAGTTACCTACAGTCTGCCATGGTCCAAAAATATTAAATGGAAATTTCCAGAAATAAACAATTCATAAGTTTTAAAACACACGCCATTCTGAGCAGTGTGATGAAATCTCGCGCGGTCCCACACAGACGAGAATCGTCCCTTTGTCCGCATGTCCAGGGAGTAGACGCTCCCCACGCCCAGTTGGTCATTCAGTAACCATCTTGCTTATCAGATCAACTGTCACCGTATCACAGTGCTTGTGTTCAGGTAACTATTATTTTACCTAATAATGGCCCAATGCCCAAGAGTAGTGATGCTGGCGATTTGGACATGGGCCAAGGAGAAGACATAGAGTGTTTCCTTTAGTGAAAATGTGGAAGTTCTGGACTTTATCAGGAAAGAAAAAAACAGTATGCTGAGGTTGCTAAGATCTAGGGAGGTAGGAAAAGGAAATTCGGGCTAGTTTTGCTGTCGCACCTCAAACTGCAAAAGTTATGGCCATAGTGTGCGGTAAGTGCTTAGCTAAGATGAACAAGACATTATACTTTATCATAGGTATCTATGTGTAAAAACAGTATATCTATAAAGTTTCAGTACTGTTCGAGGTTTCAGGCATCTGCTGGAAGTCTTGGAACATATCCCCTGCAAGTAAGGGACGACTACTGTACATCAAATACCCTGGGGAGTGATGCCAGAAACTAATAACAATGTGCTTCTGTGAAGTGAAAGAGTGGTGGGCACAGAGGTGGCAGGGAGACTGCCTGGGCCCAAAGCCTTTTAAATCCTGCCTCCTGCCCTTGTCTGTGGCTTTGGGCAAGTCCCTTTGTTTCTCTGTGCTTCATGTATTCAATAATAGTACCTAGTTGTGTCATGTTGAGTATAAAATGAGGTAATCCATGTAACGTGTACTTAGATCAATGCCCAGCCCGCAGTAGGCACTTCATTTGTTTGATTGTTCCCAATCATGTTGATCACTTTCTATCCCTCACAAAAAGAGCTCTGTCTGGTGCTAGGCACTGGAACAGAGACCTGAGTGAATTGCTGGGGAGTCACAGAACAGCGGGGAAGGACTCTGGAGGAGCCAGATAAGGCTTCACCAATGACAAGATCCTTGTGCTGGGCCATGTAGAAATGCTGGTGTCAGTGTAAATGGGAACTGAAGGAGAGGAGCCTGGGTAGGGAACAGCAAAGGGAACAGCAGTGCCAGAGAGGCACAGGCTTACGTGGGACTTACAAGGGAGCTTGGTAAAGCTCAACGAATGGTGCATTTGAAGTAATTCTTGGAATATGAATATAATTTGGCAAATAGAAATGGAAGAAGGAATTTGGTGGGATGGGGATGACTATGTGGGTGGCATTCTCGATAGAAAGAGGAGAAACAGGGCAGGTTTGGAGAACATCCAGGAGTAAATGGGGCTGGAGGTTAGAGCCAGAAGAGGGAGTTAAGGGCTAGAAGGGTGGGAAGGAGAATTGGATTCATACTGTGAAGAGTTTTGGAAGTCACTGTGGGGAGGTTTACTAGCAGCACTTCAAACAGTCCAATGAGAACAACTAAAGGTTTTTTTGTTTGATTGAGCAGGAGAGTGATAGGATTGTGTTCTCCCTTTAAACAGATTAATCTGGCAGAAATGTGGGAAGAGAGAGAAGCAATAATGCCAGTTAAAAGGTCATTTCCTGCAGGAGTTCATGATACCTAAGGCTGGGACCAACTCTGTAAAGCTGATATTTATAAATCTACATGTACTTGTGTGTGTGTGTGTGTGTGAGAGAGAGAGAGAGAGAGAGAGAGAGAGAGAGAGAGAGAGAACGCTCTGGAGGCAATGAGGTAAGGATACTATGACTATGATTCCACTAGAGGGTAGTAGAGACAAATTGGTAAAATTGATGAAGCTGCTATTATCCAAGTATCAAGCCAAGTATTTTTTTTCTTGTTTATATTTTGTACTAATTGCAAACACAATTCAATTATTCCAGGGCTAAGAAAGGTATGACAAGTACATTTAGTGAAATGTAGCTCTAGATCAGTTAGTACATTTTTATAA